ACAGCAGTAACTGTATGGTTTTAAATATTTTTGAGAAAATATTTACATGTCAAGTACTCAAATTGTTGAAAAGCAAATGCCCAGCACACTAGTCACACATAAACCTTCTCAATTCAGCCCTGCCTACCAAGTATTCTGTGATATATCATCTGCTAGCAAAGATTAGTCTCTTTTTCTTCCTTCAAAGTCTTTCTCAAAATTGATTAATTTATGTTCATTCCCTAAGCATCGTTGCAGCATACAAAATGTCATTTCCAGCCAAGAATATATTGCATAGTGACTTAATCATGCATGTTATCATCAATAATTTTCCATTTCTAGTTTTATATATATTTATATATATGTCCCTATTTCTGACCCTCTGCCCTTTCCCACCCTCTTCTCACACTATCTCTGCGGTCTACAGTTGTCTTCCATTCCTTCCCCCCCACCACATTTTATTGATGACACAATTTCTTAAATAATCTAACTACTTTCAATAGCAAGTTCAGCTGGTAATTTCAAGAAAAGCAATTTTAACTTCAATAAATAAAAGAACTGCTAAGGAACTTTGCTTAAAGCTCAAAGCCAGGAAACAGATTAAGATTCTGTTCAGATAGTAGGTACATGAACCTATGACAGCTCAAGAGAGGACAAAAATCTTTAAAACCAGACAACAAAGCCTAGAAGAAAATCAGCAACATTTGAGTCAAAAGTCATAAAATGCTATTTCACTAGTTCAGTCCCATGTACTTTATCTTCTGTTGTGGTTTGATCTTTTAATATAGGATTGATGATAACGTGTATATTATCTTTAATCAGAATGGTAAGAAGCTATTAATGTTGGGTAAATTCATTTTACAAGCTGAGTGATGTACATTGATTGTATAAATTTTAAAAATAAATAAGTAAATAAACAAAATAAAATAAATCTTAAAAATATAGAATTTAGAGTTCAGATTTAATTCTTTATTTTTATAATGGCTTTATCTCAGACATACTGTGGAAGTGAAAACTAGAATGGTACTACAACTGTCGTTTCTGGTGAATCTGGTGGTGCCAATATGTATTTTATAATGCATTCCTTTAGTAGGCAATTTGTGCTAAGGTGCATGTGCTTGCCAGAGAGACAGAGAGAGAGAGAGAGACAGAAAGCGAGAAATCACCCCCCGGGGGGATGGCCACACCACAATCCCTTATCCTCCATTCTCTCAGGATCTTGGGCATGCACGCACACGCACCCAGCATGAGTTTAAGCCAATGGGTCTGGGACTCGAACCACAATTTACTACATGGGAGTCTAGCGACATAGCCATTATGCTAACTGCTGGTCCCATAAGCTATTTTATTAACATTACTATTCAAACAAAATAATACACTAATATATTTGTGTGTATCCTAATGAATAGCAGGGAAATTATCTCGATGTATACTTAAATCAGAATTTAACTTGATCATATTTTTTTATCCTACAATTTTCTAAAAATCAAATGAGCAGTTTTTTAATTTATTATATTATATTATATATTATATTATATTAACATCATATGTATGTATTAGAGAAAAAGTCTTCCACATTGAAATGTGAGGATATTTCCTAGATTCTACAAAATATGCTTTCTTCTATTTCTAAATTTAGTTTTAATTTTCTTGTTTATTGTCTTCCTGAGAAATGATCATCTTAATATGGTAAAATTTTCATATATTTTGCTATATATTATATATGTAAAACTTTATAAATATGATTTCATTTGTTCCATGACATATTCACCTATATCTTGAATAAAATCATTTGTGTGTGATTGAATTCAACATAAATTCACTTCTTAAAAAAAAGATTTTGGTCTATGACATGTTAAAAAGTGAAATAAAATCACCATACTTAAATCTCTCTTCTAAGTTTAGTGGCTCCAGTATTTAAATGTGACTTCCTGTCTTATAGCCTTCATATCTGACAGTTTCATTTGATTCTTTGTTATGGTATCTAATTTTTCTTTCATATTGTGGAAGGACTTCCTCCTCTCTTGGATTTCAATGTCTCTTTTCTCTTGCATCTCATAAAGTTCGTCACCATATATATTCTAAATGTTTTTCCTCACATTTTGGTAATATCCTCTAATCTTTCCATACTTGGAGACATGTTGCTGTGTTCCCTTGTTGGAGATGTATTCTGGGTTCTCGCATCCTTTGGGCTCGTCTTTGATTTTTAGTTATTTGGTAATGTATTCACTTATGACTAATTTGCTGGAGCAGTTTTCTGTAACTGTGAGCTCCTGTGTTTCCCATTACTGTGAAATAGTTCTGAGCAATCTTCCCCCTTCTACTGTATTAGAGATGAGATTTATGAAGAGGAGTTTCTCATTTTTTTGCAACACGTTCAGTGGAGGAACAAAGAATTCTCTGAGCCTCAGAGTATTCAGATGTTTTGCACCTAGAGCTTCGAGGCAGGGAATGAGGGCTGAGCAGCAAAGTGAAAAGGCAAGCTAAAAGGGAAAGAAAGTAGAAAACAGAAATAGGAATTGAAAACAAAGAAAAAGACTGAAAGAAAAGCAACAGAAAAAGAGAAAAATTTCAGAAAATAAGTTTAAGTTAAAAATGAAAACAGTGAGACAAAAAGGGCAGCAGAGATGGAGATGCCTAAAATTATTTTGTTGCAGGGGAGGGAGAGACAAATGAGCAAGTTAAATGTGTAGGGGGAATAAACTTTTTTTTCTTTCTTTTTTGAAGTTAGAAAACACAGAAAATAACAGGATAAAGAGAGATTTTTCCAATCTTTTCCAGGTTCTGAGGTCTAGAAGGGGGACCCTGACTGGGAGCTTCATAGCCGTGATTCTGGGTCCAGAAAAGGGCAGCACACACAAAGATATAAAAAGTCTCAATAACTGAGACTTTCTGTCTAAATACAGATAATCTTTTAAAATTAATTAATTATTTAATTGTTTAGATCATGTCCTTTATTTACATTCATTAGATAAGAAACAAAATGAAAACATTAGGAATATAGGTCAGAAATCAAACATTATTTTGTGTCAAATGTATTAATATTAGTCATTTAGCAATATCTCTATAAATAATTTTTTGCTATTATCAGAAACATTTATTTCATAGTTATTTTAGAAATTCCATAAGCAACCTTAGTATGGCAAAAGAATGGCCATGATTCTTTTTAACAGACATGTCTCAAAATGCATCCAAGTACTTTGCAAAGATAATGAGCACACATATTAAGATACATTTCATAGTATTAAGTTAAAATTTGAAAACCAAGAGCTGAGCATGGTATCCCACACTTATAATCCCAGTAACTCAGGAAGTTGAGGGACCTTCTGGGGAAAAAACATTAAAAATCAATAAGGACAAGACCAGCAGTTAGCGTAATGGGTATATCGCTGAACTCCATGTAGTCAACTGTGCTTCGAGTCCCAGACCCGGTGGCTTGAACTCACGCTGGGCGCATGTGCATGCATGCCCAAGATTGCAAGAGGAGAAAGGAGGAGAAGGGATTGCAGCGTGGCCATCCCCCCATAAAGGAAAAAATAAAAATAAAAAAAATAAGAACAAAACTGACAACTAGACAATATGTATCTCAGGTGAGAAAAAAAGAAAACAGCTGAAAATAAAGGACATTGCACTGTTTTGTGTTTGCAAATATAGTGCATCGACCTCCAAAATATTATCTGCATTTTTATTTAATGCAACAGTATAATCACCAGGCAGGACATAGCATGACTTTGTTTGAAAGGCTACCCCACGCAACAAGTAGAAGGGTAAGTTTAATTTTTTCCAGTTTCTAGTCAGCTGGAAACTATTTAAGTAAAACTATTTTTGATATTATTTTTGTCTAACAATGGGCCAGGCCTTAGCATAGTTGTTAAGGCAGCTGATTCCCATATGAATGACCTTGTGGTTCAAGTCCCAGACCTGGTGTCTTGATAAGTACACTAATTATGTTTGTGGGTGTCTAAAATCCTGAAAGGACGGAGAAATGGAGAAAGGATTGAGATGTGATCATTCCTTATAAGAAATGCTTTCTCACATTTCTTCTCTCTTTCTATTTCTCTCTAGTGAATGTATGAACTCTCAGAACAATTTTTTTTAATTCTTTTTTTTAGAACATTTTTTAAAAAAATCAATTCTGAAGTAAATGTGGTTCCTTCTGCTTAAAAAATGTGAACATTATTTATTTTGTGGCAAATGAGGTGTATGTTTCTACTATATTTTTGGGCTTAAATATTCTTCTACTCATTAATCTTTCTTAATTTTAAAATAATATAATATGAGAACAATATAATATGAGAACAGGTGGTACAAAATCAACAGAAAATTAATTGGGAAACCAAAGCCAATCAGCTGTGTGGAGGTAATGCAATGCTCTTCAGTGGTAACAAGACACACATGGAAAAGTTCTGAGTTTAAGTCCTGAAGCTTCCCTGTGTGCACCAGGTGCAAGCACTTGTAACAATGATACAGGATAGCAATAGTTGGAAGATAGGTGAGTGGATCACAGCTTGAAGACCTTTTTGTGGCTATGTATCTGTTTTGTTTTGTTTTTCTCTCTCAGAAGGAATAAATAAATTAACTTGCAGCAAATTATTATTTTTTTTTGTATTGTTAGATGGTCTTTGTGCTTGCCAGGGAAAGAAAAAAAAATGGGGAGTGATCATGCCATAATGCTTTTCCCTTCATTTCTTCATTCCATCAGGATGTGTGATATGCACAGACATGCACTGAGCATGTTCTTCAAGCCACATACCGAGGACTCAAACTGTAGTAAACCATATGGAATCCTGCTTCTCATGCACAGCACTTATCCACTGGGTTAGTTGGTGGTACCTGGCAGAAATTATTTTACATGCAAATATTAGTCAATAAAAAATGAAATTATGTCTTCTTTTTACTTACTTAGTGAAATTCATCCACTTGGATACAACTTCTTCATCAATGCCAAACCCAGAGCTACTTAGGAAATCATTATGCCCTGAGAACCAAGCAAGGATGTAATTGAACAGACTATTTTCACATGGTATTTCCTTCATAATCCATAAATAAAAACTGAAATGACTGGATTGTCATCAAATTGGGATGTTTACAGGATTCAGTGGAAGAACATAACTGAAGTCACCATGTTTATATTGCTGGGTTTCACAAATGATTTTGACATGCAAGTCTTCCTATTTTTATTATTTCTAGCAATCTATCTTTTTACGTTGGTGGGAAATTTGGGATTAGTTGGATTGGTCATTGGGAATTCCCGGCTCCACAACCCGATGTACTACTTTTTGAGTGTCCTATCATTCTTGGATGCCTGCTATTCTACAGTTGTCACCCCAAAAATGTTGGTCAATTTCCTGGCAGAGAATAAATCCATTTCATTTTATGGCTGTGCAGCACAAATGCTTCTCTTTGTTACTTTTGGGACCACGGAATGCTTTCTCTTGGCTGCCATGGCCTATGACCGCTATGTGGCAATCTACAACCCTCTCCTGTACTCAGTGAGCATGACACCCAGGGTCTATGTGCCACTCATCATTGCTTCCTATGTTGCAGGCATTTTACATGGTACCGTTCACACAGTGGCCACTTTCAGCCTGTCCTTCTGTGCATCCAATGAAATTAGACATGTCTTTTGTGACATC